TCCCTCACACAGAACAATGCAATGATTTACTTCATTACCGAAGAGCAGGGTCAGCGCACTCGGTGTAGCAACTGACTGGCTAGACTAACCGAGGGGTCAGAGTTCGAAGTTGGGTAAGGTCAAGAATTTTCTGCTCTCAATTTTGTCCAGACCGGCTCTGGGGCCCACCCAATCTCTACTGTCCAATATATACAAGGTGTTCTTTCCCCGGTGTTAAAGCGGCTGGAGCTTTAAGCCGACCACTCACCTCCAGCTAGTGCCGAGGACAGGAGAACGTGGATCTATACATCTACTCCCCCATACGCCTTCATGGCGTAGTGTTTAAGTAGTTAAGCACAGGGACGGCTTTACCTTACTTCACTACGTGTTTCGGTTTTGCAGAAAGCGCAATTGAAATTACGGAGCTTAAGACTGTCCGCAGTGGCTCAATAAATGTTACACGGTGTTGAGTTCCAACAACAATTTTACGTCATTGAGAAATACATTTCTCAATTTACACGATTGTGGCATGTCTGCTGAAAGCCAGCATAGACAGCCGTTGCTAGGAAATGGCTATAAACGCGCCTGTTGCTAGGTGATGGTTCTGTGATAGGTTGCAACAGACACGCAACAATAGAAGAGTTGTTGGAAGCGGTGTTTTCTGTGCGGTCCGTGCCGAAGCTATATATTTAACGAGGACCAGCTGCATCAGTCGAGGGAGAGAGTCTGCAGACAGTTGAGATTTGCCGTGGCTGAGGCCGGGGTCAGTTCCGGAATCCAGAGGCAGGGGAACATCCGTCGTTGAAAGCCGCTGCGAAGCAACGACTAGCGAAGACCGTGAATGAAAACACTAATCTGTGTGTGGTAGTGATCTGTAAAGGGTAGTTATGAGTTGCTTAGGCGTCCAAAAAATCCGATTGTCAATCTAAGACCCCGTCTATAGTTGTGCTCCATCACGTGACGGTTTATTCATTCTTTCAACATTGTAAATTTGGTGATTAGATCTAACACGAAGTAGCATGTACGGAGCCATGGTGACAAGTCGTAATCTCTAATTTAATTTCTGTTGTAGATTATCCGTCTGATGATTTCTGTAAGATCGAAACATGTATTGTAGTAAATATTAATGAAGTAAACTGTTAAATATTTATTTTTGGGGGACGGTTTATATACCTTGAAACTGCGTCACACAACAGGATACAAGCTATGAATAATAATAATGGCACTTTCTTCTGAGATGTGATGCCCTGCAGTCCGGTGGAACTCCACCGACGTTTCGAAGTAACGTATTTTCTCCATCTTCAGGATGGATGATTAAGCCAAGTGAGCACTAAACATGGTTCTTTGCTGCTTATTTGCTTGACTTATCCATTTATCGTTTAGATAGAGTACGTTCCTCCGAAACGTCGGCAAATTTCAACCGGATTACATTGTATCGCATTGCAGTAGACCTCTATGACCATATGTCCAACGTGAAGGTAAGATGCTTCCAGTCCAACACCTAACAAGTAATCTTGTTTCAACTAAGAGCGATATTGGACCACCATTCCTATTCAAGTAGTCGCAGTTCATGGCTTATTTATCGGACAGCCCTTGCTCTTTAAGTGGTTGCAATATTAGGTTCCTATATTGGACGTCCCTTAAACTTCAACTGGTTGCGATCTTCGGTTCGTATATTGGGCAGCCTATACTCATGTGGTTGCAGACCTCGGTTCATATACTGGGCAGCCTATACTCATGTGGTTGCAGACCTCGGTTCGTGTATTGGGCAGCCTATACTCATGTGGTTGCGGTCCTCGGTTCGTATATTGGGCAGCCTATACTCATGTGGTTGCAGTCCTCGGTTCATGTATTCAGTGGCGTAATGTAGCTGGCCCTGTCACTTGGTGGCTCGAATTACGATCCACACCACAGCACTCGCTATTTATGGCCGCAAACCTCCCCCGCCCCCACTTACTGTGTTACTTTGTACTCAGGGCAGGTTTTACGAAAGTTCCCCATTTGCGTGGTTCTCTTTTCGCGTTTCTTCTCACACGTTTGAGCGACTTCATCGATCTGTCTCTGTTTATATATTGCACTGTTATTTTTCGGTTCCTTCCTCTCCCAGTCTGTGAGATATCTGTCTTTAAATATACAGGGTGATGCATTCAAGCCTTAACATGCACTAATATGAAAGATTGTCACATATACGGGTGACTAAAGACGGGGTTCGGATTGGTAACTGGATTTATTACCCACCTACAGGCCGTAACTACAAACAAGTATAACACTTACTGATATTCACACTACAAAGCACTCCACGCTACTCTCTTCAGTAGTCTTCACGGATTTATAGCACAGGAACTAAATCACACATCCCCAACATCACTGTACTACAGCACACACAAAGACTTCACAGGATGACTTCTTGTACTCTTCTGTACTCCCAGTTCCAATTCGTTCTGAACTTACAGCTCAAGGCTGTCGTTATATAGCCGCGGAACGGACATGGACCTACAGTAAACACATATCACGTGATCGCTATCCAGCCGGTCTATTGGCGCGTTGGTCAGATCTACAGGAAACGCAGCTTCCTCTATTGTTCCGTGTTGGACCGTGTTTACAGAGCTGTTGCCTGGCAACGCGTTGATCAAACCCGTTACAATATGGCATGGTAGTCTTGAGTACCGAGCTCCCCTTAATTCCCAGACAGAAGTCTGGTCTATGGAGTTTCAGAACATTGACGGGCTGTTGCGCACGGGAATGAACCTTCGGCTTTCATACAATGCACAGAATATATTGTCACGTGTCCAGGGTTCTCGATTGGATGACTTGATTTATTAACTCCTGCTACATTACAACCAATTACAACAGCTCACAATTAACGATTGCCCGAGACACACTCCATTCCTTACTGAACTACGAGTGTCTTCTCTTCTGCGTGAGTGACTTGGTTCTGATTTACGTGTTGGTCACTTTTTCAGCTTCCGCTGTCCGCTGGTTAACACTCCACCGCTGAACACTGAACTCAGCTACTGAACTGCCTTCTCAATTCTCTTACGAATGTATCGTTCAAAGTCAAAGTTAAAGTTACTGTACGACTGGTGGTTTACAGCCAATCAGTTCATCTTGCCGCCAGGCCCCTTGAGGATCACGACCATGCCTGTCTGTTGTCACGGAAACGCACCTTGCACTGAATTGGTATGTAAGAATCTGTCTTCGTAGCAACGTGTGTTAATCCCGTGGCAACGCGCTCTCTGTCTCTCTACAGTTTATATCCGTAGGCTATTTGTTTCACGCCTAGCGACGGTTTGTGTTTAAGAATCGTATCTCCGCGAAAACGTGTTGCCGAAAAGTTTCCGATGAGGTCATTAGATTTTTAAACTGACCTAATTCTTCCAGCCTCGCTATGGCCCTGGGCTCGACTCAGCCTCTAACAGAAATGGGTACCAGGAATCTTCTTGTGGGTAAGGCTGACAACATCACCGCCATCTGTGAGCCGACTGTCTAGAAAATGTGGGAGCCTCGACGTCTCACAAACCTATGGGTCTTCACGGCCTGTAACAGAGATAGCTTTATCTTTACCTCCTTTACCTTACTTACTTACTCATGGAGCTGAGCCCTTCTTGAGGAGCCGCCAATTCTGCAGCTACCCAAGAATTTCCCCACATTGTATGTAACCCAAAAGTTCATTACCGTGTTCACAAGAGCCCTCTATTCGTCCCTATCCTGTGCCAGATCAATCCAATCAATACCATCCCATCCTATCTCTCTAAGATCCATTTTAATATTGTCCACCCACCTACTCCTTGGTCTTCCCAGTTGTCTCTTTCCTTCTGGCTTTCCTACCAATATCCTATACACATTCCACGTTTCCCCAATTTGTGCTACATGCCCTGCCCACCTCATCCTCCTTGACTTGATCATTGTAATTATACTTGGAGAAGAGACTTTTCCCGTACCTTGAAATTGAATAGAATATTCTGTACACAGTATCACGCTAGAATACAGTGTTACTATTGAAGACTATTGTCTGATGTGATGTTGTGTAGTCCCGGAGATGTTTACCAACTGAACTGTCCGCGTACATCTGTACGTCCCAGCCCTTCGTGTTCCTTTCCTCAGCCTCCTCGCATGTGCGCGTTCCAGAAGCAGTAGCCCTCATAGGTACTGATGCCAGAACCTGAGATTCAGAATGTTAACTTACGTTGTTCTCTAGTACCTTTTCAATTAGGCGTTTTCGAAATATGTTTACTCGCCAAAATTTGGTGTACTTGTTTATTTCGTCCTATTCTAGCACTAGAAACGCCGATGGCCGGAATGCAGGACAAAATCATGACAGAAAGACAACTGACAGATGTTTCGAAAATGTGACACAGTTCAGATATTTGGGAACGACAGTAATGAACCAAAATATAATTCAGGAGGAAATTAAGAGGAGATTGAATTCGGTTAATGCTTGCTACCATTCACTCCAGAGCCTTTTGTCTTCACGACTGTCTCGAAAACAATATTTGGACTGAAGACGGATGAAGTGACAGGAGGTTAGAGAAAACTACATAATGAGGAGCTTCATAACTTGTACTCTTCTCCAAGTATAATTAGAATGATCAAGTCAAGGAGGATGAGGTGGGCAGGGCATGTAGCACGAATGGGGGAGAATAGGAATGTATATAGGATATTGATGGGAAAACCAGAAGGAAGGAGACCACTGTGAAAAATCATACATAGCTGCGTGAATAATATTAAAATGGATCTTCGAGAGATAGGATGGGGTGGTATGGAGTGAATTATTCTGGCTCAGGATAGGGACCAGCGGAGGGCTCTCGTGAACACGGTAATGAACCTTCAAGTTCCATAAAATCTTGAGTATTTGAGGGACTGGAGGTTTCTCAAGGACTCAGCTCCATGGAGTCAGAAACGCCGATTGACCTGTCAGGATGTGGATTTCTCTCGAGGAAATGAATGTGAACAAAGACAGTTGTAGTTGTCAAAATATCTTTATTACGTTAGAATGACGGTTATATCCGTCATGACGCCAGTTCAGTTTTGTTTAGTGGATGATGGCACGGGCTCCGTAAGCAAATGGGGCGCCTAGTGACAGAGGCGCGGCGACTGCCAAGGGTGCGGGTGCTAGAGCTGGGGCAGCCAAGATGGGAGCGGTGCGCAAATATGGGGTGGCAGCATAAGTCGCAATGGGGGCGGCTGCAGGAATGGTTGCGATGGCGGGAGCGCCAATTATACCGGCCGAAGCGACGGCTACGAGGAGGGCGAAGATCACCTGTAGAGAAAGACAATAGAGTTCATGTTGTTACATGTTCAAAAACGGCACAAGTACTTGTGGTTGCCGGAGCAACATTACGTGTGACACAGGATATTTAATCTTAGAACTGCCAAGTGTCGTAAATTTCGTCTTTTTTTTTTTAACTTGGTACATGCGACTGCATGTGACATCTGTTGATATTTCGTGTGAACTATTTGAAGATCTGAAGACCCATCTAAATCTAGTATAGATTATATGAAAATGTTATTTGTTCGTATTCAGGCTTTTGTTTGTTTGTTACTGCGAACCCAGTATAGAACATTATAAATTATTACTTAATCTGCCCCTTACCATTGCCAATACGCACGGCGGACACGTCTACTAAACTGATGTTGAAGTATTGCAGTAGAGTTTTTGTGCGGTTATAATCCTTATTCTTAGTGTTTAATTTACGATTATTAGATGAATAAACATTAAATTTTAGTCGTATTTCTACTTAGCCACAACTATTTACCGCGACAGAAACAGATGCATATGCTTGTAGGATATTAAAATTCAGTTCCAAACTCAAAGAAAACATACATCATCTCAATTACAAATGCTTTTCAATTAACGTTATTCAGAGAATTAATCTCTAAGTATGTAAATACGCTCTGTGAGCAATGCACAGTTTTTAAATTCCGAAGCAGGTGGTACGTATAGTAACCACTGTGCTTTAGCCCATCGGTAAAGTTTGACGGCTATGAGACGTCTGCCAAGTCGATTGAAAGCCGAAATAGTATTATTTTTGAGTAACAAATGTAGTCCCTCGCCATTCCGTAAGATCTGAGGCTTTTCCCCCCGAAAATTGAAAATGAATTTTATATTTTTATATTAATCTTCACAAATTTCGGGCCTCGGGTCGCCACTGTGTCCTCTAGTCTATCTTGTCATTTCGCACAGGACATGTCGAAGACGATGGGTAACATAACTTCCTTCTTCCTTTCCTTTCTCCTTTCCGATTTCCGTCTCCTTCCCTCCCTTATTTCTTTCCAGCCTCTTCTGTTTGTCCGTTATATCGTCCTGTCTTCCCCTTCCTTCCTCCCTCGTCTTCACATTATAACAGTTCCATGATCCCTGTTCTTGCGTTCCACTATCTCTCTCCTCCTTCCCCATTTTCTCCACATTTTCCCATCGTCATTCCTCATCCCGTATCCTAGCAACGGGAGAAGGTAATTTGGGGTTTCCCGGTATCCAGGCAACGGTGCCTAGGATCTTACCCGAGCGTAACAGGAAGCGGCTCTTATTTTCATGTAGATCTCTCAGTTGTCCTGCTCTTAACCCTTTAAGGATTGGCAGCTAAACTGCTGCTGGTCCTCGCCAGCACAGTGGTCCTTGGTTCCGAATCGCACGGGAGAAATGGCCATATATTACTGCCTGTTGGCACTGGGAGCCTTCATTCTCCTATATATTATATGCAAATTCAGTTCGTATCTCACAGGAAACTCATAACGTCTTCGTTACACAGCCCAACCGGTTAATGCTGTTTAGGGAAACAGTCGCTGTTCAGTGTGAGAACCATACGGAACACACAGATACACTGTGTGGGCAGAATATATAGCAATTCAGTCCGTACCTCACAGGAAACTCATTACGTCTCCGCTACAAAGCCCAACCGGTTAAGGCTGTTTAGGGAAACAGTTGCTGTTTATTGTGAGAACCATACGGAACACACAAATACACTGAGTGGGCAGAATGCATAGTTTTGATATGTTAAAGCAGTTGGTGCATATAATAACCACTGGGCTTTAAAGGGTCAATAGGAATTGGCGAATTCCTTACTCAGGTTACTTATTTGTTTTCTGGCGCCTAGGTTTTTTGGATTTGTAAGAAATTTGTAAAGTCCTTTCTTATATTCTGGGTTGTAAGACCAGTTAACTTGCCAAGGAGTGAATGATTAAAAATATCAGCTCAAAACAAGTCTCCGTGGTTTTACAGCAAGCGAACTATACCGACCGAGCGACCGCCGCTTGTCGGCGAAGTTAGTACCAACTTTAGCGGATAGAGGGTGTCGCGTAGTCAGCGCAACCAATCCCCACGGCCGTTAATTTCGGTTTTCTAGACCGTAGGTATTTCCTTGAAATAGCTCCTCAGTTATTCTCACGAGGCTGAGTGGACCCCGTTCCAGACCCACTACTTCTCAGAAAATCTGGTAGCGCCAGGAATCGAACTCGGGACCACTGGATCTGTAGCCAGGAACTGTGACCACAGACACGCACTTTAGAGTGGTATTTGCGGAATTCTGAAACAGGTACCGTTTTCAGACGAGTACTTACCAGCTTGTACATGTTGAGATGTGGTAGTGTCTGTCTGTGTGCAGAAACTGATAATGTGGAGACATATTCAGCTGTTTTTATACCCGCAACTTGAAGGGCGTCACCCGATGGCGACGGTCAAGTACGCCGTGTTATAAGCCCACTTTAATAGGTAACATTTCTAATATTTAGAATAATACCGCAATATTGAGTGCTAGAGTGTAGTAAGTACGGTTCCCGATCTGATATAATTTGACCTCAATCAGAATCGTGTTCGACCTGACCTTTATGTTACTGCTGCTTTGAATTATCTGACCTCATGTCTTCTTCCGGTATTCTTTGTCAAATTTCTTTTGTTCACGACGAGAAAATCTTCAATAACAGCATCACATGACCTTGCAGCTGAAGTTTGTAATAATGAGAGCCGAGATGATTTGGCCAGCACAGCGACGGGATACGGGGTGGACGATCGAGGAATCGGGTTTCGATTGCCAGCATAGCATAATTCATACCTCACAGGAAACACTACATCTACGCTACAAAGCCCAACCGGTTAATGCTGTTTATTGTGAGAACCATACGGAACACACAATATACATCAATTCTGCCCGTACCTCACAGGGAACACATTACGTCTCCGCTAAAAAGCCCAATCGGTTAACGCTGTTTATTGTGAAAACCATACGGAACACGTAGGGTTGTAGTATGTTAAAGCAGGTGGTGTTTTAAAGGGTTAATATTAAAACAAAAGAAATTCTGCATCTTTCCCGCAGAGTGTTTTGTATAATTCTCACAAAACAGCGATTATTTCTATATTTTATACCTAATTTAGATGAAATGCAGGTCTCAAGGGGACTGATGAAAACTATGTAATACTTCCGGTCTTCGGACCGAAGTTTTAATCAGGTCAATCTCCTTCAGATATATCCCACTAAAATTTTGTATGCATTTCTCAACTCCATGCTTAGTTTATGTCCCTCTAATACTATCCTTATCGATTTCATCACCCTAGCACTATTGGTAAAATTAAAGTTGCCCCTGTCCTTAACTGATCAAACACTACTTCATGAAGACTCATGGGGGAGTGAACATAAGCTTCACCTTTCAGCACTAGATGGGGTTGAGTGGTCAGCTTCAAGCCCCGGCCGCTTTATTCCCGGCGACATCTCCCCAGTACCCTTTGGTTAGGAGGCTGGATGGGGGACCCTGAGCCGCTCTAGACGCTGTGGAGATGAGAAAAACAGCACTGCTTGGAGTCGAACCCTGGCCGTCCAGGCCGTCGCTATACAGACTCACAGCAATAATTTAAAAACGTTCACATTGTGAAGCGTCTCATAATAGGGGGTTCTCCATTCTCCTTTTACATCATTCTTGGGGCTAAATATATTCTCCCCCGTAGAGCGCAGACAAGAAAGTATTTAACCTTAGTTCCTGGTATTATCATAAGACCATCTACAGCAAAAGAAAACCCTGCGACATTGCTGATGTCAGTTTTATATTACGACATTCACTGCTTTTGACAGCTCTGAAAATCTTAGAAATATTCTTCTTGATTTATTTGGCTAGGGAACCTGTTAGTCGGGGCCACGCGGTATCGTAGTTACTGGAGGCACTATAATAGAAGCAGGAAATTGGCGGGTTCGAAGCTCGTTGAGGTAATTGGATTTTTCAATTGACCTAATCCTTCTAGCCGCACTGTGGCCCTGGGGTCGACTCAGCCTCTAACAGAAATTAGTACCTGGAATCTTCCTGGGGGTAAAGGGTGGCCAGCGTGTAAGGCTGACGTCACCGCCATCTGTGAGCCGATTTTCTAGAAAATGTGGGAACCTCGACGTCTCACAACTCTATGGGCCTCCGCCGCCTGTTACAGGGATAGCTTTGTTTTTTTTTACGCGTTAGTCTCCAGTTTATCTCTGCATCTCTTTCTTTGTTGTCTTTGTCTCCTTTGACAGGGTTATGTTCGGTGACTAATTGTATTTTCCTCCATATTCCCTATATGTGTTCAGTGTTTATTTATTTCTGACCTTCCACAATATCATCTAAATCTTATCTTTTAGCTGCTTTCTAATCTCTGGTTGTGTATGGGTGTAAAACTTGGTGTGTCACATTCTGGCGAGAACATGGCCTGAGGGCGTTTGAGAACGGCTGTTTAAGAGAATATTTGGAACGAAGAGAGATGGAAAAAAATACGTAATGGGATGTTTCATAATTTTTACTCCTCGCCAAATATGAGGACGATCAGATGAAGGAATATGAGATGGCAGAACATGTAGCAGGCATGTCAATGAAGAGAAGTGCGTACACAATTTTGGTAGGAAAGCGGCCACTAGGGAGACCTAGTCTTAGATGGGAGGATGTCGTAAAGAATCTTAACGCAATGGAATGAGGGTGTAGATAGAATCCGTCTGGCTGAGAAAAAAGACAATTGGTGAGGTGTTGTGTACACGGTAATTATCTCGCGGGTTCATTTAAATTCTGTAGTTAGTTAGTTAGTTATTGGAGAGGGTGGGTTTCCCCATGCACCGCGACCAGCTTGATCTATTGTGCTTCCCTCTATGATATTCTACCAGTCTCTATACCCTACCGATATTGGTGCGTAACATCAGTCCCGACCGAGCCAGCGAGTTCGGCCTCTACTAGCTTGGCGGTACCTATAATGCTTCCCCCATCTATCAGAGGCATTAGAGACTACTGTTGGGCGGGAAACGTCCTTGAATTTGGCTCAGTCACCTCCTTTGGAGATATGAGGTTCTTTTACGTGCCGTAAAGCTACGACACGGGACCCACGGCTTAAAGTCCCTCCCGGAGGACTTGTTCCCTGAATTTTTCCGCCCTTAAAGATTCCACGACCTCCGTAAATTCTGTAAATTTCTTCAGTGTCTGAGCAACTGCTCTCTTCGCAAGAAAGATTCAGCTTCATGGAGTTAGTTGGGCTGTGATGTCATTATCTTGGAGATCAATGTAAGAAATTGTGCCCGTCTCGTAGACAGCCATGGCCAGCAGAACGATGTTTCCGAAGGCCAAGACGCAAGTCCCGTGGTAGGCCATGAGATATGTTTCACAGATAAAAAAACATTCATTTACTGTACGTTGCTTGATTGAGACCTGTGCGGTAATCGCTGCGATTGTTGCATCAGCATAGGCTTTTGTCGTACACACATGATGACAATTGCATACACTTCCTGCTTTCACTAAGTAACTGAAATATAATGCCTGAACTCTTGTGCTATTGTATTGAATTAACTTAAGACAGAATCTTTCTCGGAATACAGTTAGATAGGCGTGACAACCGTCATATAGCTAGATCAGTTTGGACATTTCTGTTATGGTGAGTTAACCCTTTAGAGAGTGATTGACTGACTGTTAAATTTTTACTGGTTTCGAGTCCCACGGCACTCATGAGCATACTTTACTGGCTCACAGCTCTGAAAGTCTTCAGACTGCATGTACATATACTAAAATTGCAACTTAAAAAAATGTATATATATGTGAAGTTCAGTTCGTACCTCACAGGAACAGGAAACAGGAAACACATTACGTCTCCCCTACAAAACCCAACCGGTTAATGCTGTTTAGGGAAACAGTCGCTGTTTACTGTGAGAACCATACGGAACACATCGATACACTCTGTGGACAGAGTATATAGCAATTCAGTCCCTACCTCACAGGGAACACATTTCGTCTTCATAACAAAGCCCAACCGGTTAATGCTGTTTAGGGAAACAGTCGCTGTTTACTGTGAGAACCATACGGAACACATAGATACACTCTGTGGACAGAATATATAGCAATTCAGTCCGCACCTCACAGGGAACACATTTCGTCTTCATAACAAAGCCCAACCGGTTAATGCTGTTTAGGGAAATAGTCGCTGTTGTAAGAACCATACGGAACACACAAGTACACTCTGTGGGCAGAATATATAGCAATTCAGTTCGTACCTCACAGGAAACACATTACGTCTCCGCTACGAAGTCCAACCGGTTAATGCTGTTTAGGGAAACAGTCGCTGTTTATTGTGAGAACCATAAGGAACACATAAATACACTGCGCGGGCAGAATATATAGCAATTCATTCCGTACCTCACAGGACGCACTCCCTCTCCATAACAAAGCCAACCGGTTAATGCAGTTTAGGGAAAGAGTCGCTGTTTATTGTGAGAACCATACGGAATACACAAGTACACTCTGTGGGCAGAAAGGAGAACTTTTGGTGTACTAAATCAGGTGGTACATATAAAAATCGCTGGGCTTAAAGGGATTGAATGTGCGTAGTAATATGCTGGTAACATTACATATATGAAAGATTGGAAGTCCAAAAATGGTAATATATTTGTAGGATGTGAGGTTCTCACAGCAGTGGCTATGAAGAGTTCTATATTCTGGGATGTAACGCCGTGTAGTCTGTTGAAATTCAACCAATGTCTCGGTGGAACATATCGCTTCCCTCTGCATGGTTAGAGAATATTCCAACATGAAAGCAGCTTGAAGGAGGTAGCAGACAGGTAGTTTTGCTTATTCTTTGACCCTGAAGATGGAGGAATGATGCTCCTCCGAAACGTTTCACTCTCAGCGGACTACACGGCGTTATATCCCTTCATAACCACCGCTGTGAGAACCTGAAATCCATTTGAACCTTATCCCCATTTTCGTCATAGTTGCAGATTTCTGGTTCACGTTAATAATGTTCCTGGATACGTCGGTGTATTGCCCTCGGGGTCACAAAAAGCTTGTCGCGACGTCACAGGTGGATGCAAGTTAATTGATAGACCTCTGCATTCAGTTGAGAGCACAATAATATGTAAGAATCAATGGCATGTATACATCTTTTGTATGATTCAGACTTTAAATCCATTTGTGTTACCTGACTGCAGTGAGGCCGCTTTGTGTCTCTCTGACGCAAGTCTTGGAGAAGGCAGGCGTTTTTTTTAGAGCGGTACTGCTTTGTATCGACATTACCCCAGACAGGTGGAAAGGTAAAGCTATCCCTGTAACAGATCTTCGACGTCTCATAACTCTATGGGCCTCCACGGCCTATTAACAGGGATAGCTTTAC